ACACACTGCTGGGAGTGGGTTACCACAGACTGGGAGAGGGTTACCACAGGCTGGGAAAGGGTTACCACAGGACTGGGAGAGGGTTACCACACAACTGGGAGAGGATTACCACAGGCTGGGAGAGGGTGACCACAGGCTGGGTGACGGTTACCACACGACTGGGAGAAGATTAACATACGGCTGGGAGAGGGTTAACACATGGCTGGGAGAGGGTTAACACATGGCTGGGAGAGGGTTAACACACAGCTGGGAGAGGATTACCACAGGGTGGGAGAGGGTTAACACAGGGTGGGAGAGGGTTAACACAGGGTGGGAGAGGGTTAACACATGGCTGGGAGAGGGTTACCACAGGCTGGGAGAGGGTTACCACATGGCTGGGAGAGGGTTAACACATGGCTGGGAGAGGGTTAACACATGGCTGGGATAGGGTTAACACATGGCTGGGATAGGGTTAACACATGGCTGGGATAGGGTTAACACATGGCTGGGATAGGGTTAACACATGGCTGGGATAGGGTTAACACATGGCTGGGATAGGGTTAACACATGGCTGGGAGAGGGTTAACACATGGCTGGGAGAGGGTTAACACATGGCTGGGAGAGGGTTACCACACGGCTGGGAGAGGGTTAACACACGGCTGGGAGAGGGTTAACACATAGCTGGGAGAGGGTTAACACACGGCTGGGAGAGGGTTAACACATAGCTGGGAGAGGGTTAACACACAGCTGGGAGAGGGTTAACACATGGCTGGGAGAGGGTTAACACATCTGTGATAGGGTGGGAGTTAACAAGGCAGGGATAGGGTTAAGATAGTTGGTAGAGAGTTGGCATGGATGGGACAAGGATAGGGTCAATATGCCTGACAGAGTTGTGTAAAATTGTATTATTATTCATAGTCAACCTGCAAAACGCCCCACCCATTAGTGTTGTCTTTAACCATCTTATTATACTTCCAACTGTTTCCCTTATGTTAGTGCCAAAGTGAAACCAATCTTGGGCTATAATTTGATTATTATACTTCACCAACACAATTCTGATATAAAAATGACTTAAATTGTTTATTTACATTGACCTTTCAGATAAGAAGATAACACATTAATCAGGCCTATATTTACCTTTCGACAACGAATTCACCTCTGACCAAATTAGGTCATATTCACCTGTCAACATACAACATTCTGACCTGACAGTAATACAACAGTATGATAGGTTTAAATACATTTAATCCATGACTCCAAATGTATGTCAATGAGATCAAAATATTGTATGCTTTCTCTTATATCATTACTTGAAAACATAATCTCAGGGCTCGAAATTCAATATAGAAGCGAATGCTCTCAATGCCTCACTTGAATGCTTTAATGATCGACCTTCAATACTTCAATACAATTGCAATTAGACCAAGGTATTTTTAAAGTTTTGGTCATGAAATTGGGTAGTCCACACACGCTATCAAGCGTCTACTGCAAGAAAAATTGTCTCTAATTAAAAATAAATTAAACTGCCATACTTATTTACATTTATGCATTCAGACATGTCGATAATACAATGTAGGTGTTATAATGCTATGAATACAACTGAATTATATGGCAAAGAAATTTGCTTTTGTCACCAACCTATTTAAAGACACAGATGTCAAATCAAACCTGCTTAACAATAACATAATCTAACTCTACATTCCTGACCTCAAACAGACTTAGGGGGCATGGATAAATTAAACATGTGCATGGTAAATGTAATCTCTTCGTTACGGTGAGGGTAAAAGATGATTTTTAATTACTGTGCACTGTGATGTTAATTTTGTACACCATCCACACATTATACATGTAGGTAGGGTATGATATGCTGAAACTACAACATATCCATCCACTACATACTTTTAAAAAAAGGCAGCTTAACGAACATTATAATATGACAATACGCATTATATTGAACTATTGTCCTATTGCAGCATGTCCCTAATCAAATATAATTCAAGTTTACATCAAATATGGTTGCCACGCATTTTTCGTTTATTGGGCGAGGGGATAAATGTCAATTGCAGCAATAACTGGTACTTGCTCTAGACATGTTTCAGTTATTCATGGTCAATTACATCTACTTATTTATTTCAGGCAAAAACAGCCACGTCTGTAAAATAACTTTAGTGGATCAGATAACATACTTAACACTTGATCTCAGGATATCTGGCAGCTAAAGACAAGCAATAATGAAACAACCATAATGCTAGTTACAACAATTAGACAAACAACAGTCATATTTTAGACAGGGAACATTCCTGACGCATTTATTGATATGTTAAAGGGACAGCTGATTTAAAGACTCGTGTGCAGCCATGACCTGCCATAAAAATTAGACAGCTGTCACCATTAAAATGCATAATCAGTTAAATTTATAGTATAGACTGAGGAAATTAACAATAGTATCATTGATTGTTATCTGGTAACAACAACTATTCATAACCTGATACTCAGGTTACTACTCCAAAGATCATACTACCTTGAAGCAGAGGTGTTGTTACCTGTTCATGCACAGGAATTAAGTCCTAAGCGTTGATAACAGCACATGCAAAAACGCAAAGGCTCATGGGTAGACGCTTGCTTGTAAACAGCAACACGCTATTGACGTCTGCTGCATGTACAGTTGATGACTCCCCTGCTTTACTAAGAAACATGTCATTACCAATAATACCAATGCTTACAGAGGTATACAGTAAGTTGTTGTTTTAGAAGAAAACAAGACTGAGGGAAACGTAAGCATACGTTTTACATTGTGGATGGTGGCAGAGTTTTGGCATTGAAATTACCCATGAGCACTTGCAGCAATCTCTGTGAGTTTGCAATAAAAGCTACTGCTTATACGAAGTGTGAAGTCTGATATTCCAGACAGTACATCAACTGAAAAGCAACAATAATCACCTTTCAAAAAATAAACCCACACAATTTTAAAACAACATAAACTGAACAAGATCTTTAAGAAAAAAAAGGGAATTGCATTCATTTGGTAAAAGAATTACCAAGATGATAGAAAAATCTTGTGAAAAAAGGTTGGCAGGTATACAAAAAGTTTATGATACTTCAGCTACTTAAACAAAGTTGACGAAGACCATATGACAGTGTGTGCAGTTCATCACAACCAAAGTGACTCACTTCATTAAATATTCATACATCATGAATACATTGGTATAAGGGTACTTACTGGTCACAGTCAGCCAGTCACCCAGAACAGGGTTCAATTCACTTGGAAAGTATCAGTAATCCATAGATATACTCATAAGAATGCGCACTCTGTTAAGCCAATCACAGGCCTCATAAAATGCTTTCATTACATAGCAGTCAGTCCAAGCATGGATAATTAAACCATGCACACGAGCAAACGTAATATCTTTATTTAGTAGAAAAGCCAAAGATGATTTTGATTACTGTGCATAAAAATGGCACTGTATAGTTTGCTCATGGTTGCAAACTTTTGTGTGAGGAGAGGGTGGGTGAAATCCTAAGAAAGAGTTTACTTTGCTGTAAACACGTTTTCTATTATCCATACCAACTTATTATGTTATTTGTCATAGAATGAGGTAGAGCCTGAAGCAAGAAGTATATTAATATAAATGTTTTCTCCAGAAAAATGATCACATTGGGTATTGTATTTTTTGTTCAAAGTAGCCATGCTTGAAAAGCCAAGAAACACGCTAGTATTTCTGATCAATCATGTATATTTGAACTAAAAAATAAAATATCCTTTCAAAGAGTTAACCTCATCTGACCAGCCCCACACCAAAGTATTCACATTTATTCACGTTAATTCATCATCTTATACCATTGCAGATTTGTAAGGCAGTGAGAAAAAAATGAGATTGTGAATGTTTAATACCCACACCCACCAAAGGATTGAATGCACACAGAGAACATGCAGAATTTCGTAACCATAAAATGTTGACCAATGTTTGGATATAGGTCTAATTTGATTACAAGCAAAATGCACAGACAAGAAAGATGTTACTTTGCTGTAGTTTTCAGTGATTTGTGGTGAATCCCAAGGAAGAGCGTTTATTGCTTGAACAAAGCTCTTGCGACATTACATAAGCTGCATACTGGTTATAACACGTGACAGGACTCAGTTATGATGAAATGCAGTATGAGAGCACCATCTACAGTTTCTCTATCATGGAAATGAAAACATCTATTGTTTGAGGTGAAGACACCATTTGATGCAAGTATATAGAAAGGGTTTGCAGCTTGTATGGTAGGAGAAAAAGTGTAACCTCTTTTTCTGATCTAATATTAGTCAAACTTTAGAATCTGTGTTCAGCAAAAAATTTAATCTGTTTCATATGATAGATTGATTATGTTTTTACACATATTATTATTATATTTCTGTGTCTGTATTGCCATAAGTTATGGTGTCTAGCACAACGTATCTACAACCTACCGTATTAGAAAGCGCAAATTCCAAAATAAGGAATGATTATATAATACAAGATGACAAACAAAAACAAAGTTTATAGCAAGAATGTTTCATTTATCTTTCTCAGTTCAGGGCTTCATATATGAAACAGATCGGGACGATGTATAATAATAAGGTTATTACAAGAATACTCTAAAGTATGCATACAGTACAAGATAAAGTTGATTTTCACTATGTATCCGTTGTTACTTTCATTGTACAGTCTTTATGTATAACTTTGTGGTATCCTTGCAATACTCTTGTATTATTCAGCAAACTCTAGATTGTCACTTGCAAAATAATAATAATTTCCTTTCTTGAAAAGATTTCAAAGAGAACATATTCTGGAGCTACTACTACGAGATACTGAGTTTGTGTTGTGTTATTTTTACATTGCTTCACATTCCATGTACACGGCCTGGCGACGTCATTTTCTACCTCTAATACTAGTTAGACACTTTGTAACAACTAATTGGAGATTGGAGAGTTCATAGTGGGACTGCAATGTAATGGATGGTAAGGTTTAACACGAAGTATTGTAAGAAAACTAGCTTACCTGTGGTGAGGCGTGCACATGGTCTGTATGTGGGGTAGCAAACTGGCACACTATAGGGTTCTTGTTTTGCTTGACTGAAACAGATATACATTTGGAATGAAATTATAACTTATAATTGCTGCCTAGTCTGATTAAATCAGGATAATGTAAATATAACAATATATATAATGCGACCTATTTCTTACATGTAGATTCCTGAACAAAACTTCTTCAGATTCACATCCTTCCCTAATCTACACAAATCAGCCAATTTCAACTTACACACACAGTATGTGTTTGTAAAGACTCCAAGATTGTTCAGAGATTGTCATTGAATTTCTTAGAATTACCAACAAACTCCAAATGAAAGAACAATAGGTGATTTTCCGTACAATTGCGAGATCTCGCGAGATGCATGAAAGACGCGCGTTGAACGTCTGCCGCAAAAATCGAACGATTTGATTTTGAACTAGAATTTCTTTATTTCGCAGCTTACATTGACCGGCCGATCTTCGACAGAGGAATACCCTTACTTAATCGAAATTGTATATCATCATCAATTGGAAAGCACATTATTAAGCATGGAAATGTCCCCGAAATACTTTCGCGTTTGTCGAATCCCACGCGATGTTTGACGCGACTATGACGCTATGACCTTTGTTTGTCCTGTTTTTACGTTCGATTTCATGCATAACGCGTGATTCTCGCAGTGAACGGAAAATGGTCTATTGTGTCAACACTCTCATAGCCCCCTCCCCTGGTTTCCAAAGCCCTAGCCGACAACAAAAGAATCTAGAGAACCTACACAACATTCTTTCAATGCCCAGAGATTACTAACATTAAATTTAAGAGCTGACACACCTCACAATAGATCATCTGACACCAAGAGATGGCACTAACACCAATATAACCATTCTCTAAATATTACACAATTTTGAGGATTGGTTTCCATTTGTGACAAATCCTAGACACTCAGGTAGTCAGGTTTTAAAAATCAGTGGTCAAGATTCCCACAATTTTTTTTCAGTTCAGGAATTTCTTCTAATATCAATTTGTCAAAAAGTTGTTTTGGCCTAGAAATCAAGTACCCCAAGGACACTACAGGTAAAGTAACAGTTGTAAAAATGCAAATCCTGGTGCCAATTTTGATGTACTTACACTGTATGTGCCACGCTCTCCATATTGCATTATTTAACCGTATCTTGTCTTTCATGGACAATTTCATTCCCTTGAATGTCTTCCATTTTGGTGACACCACTTTACCGCTGCAACAAAGAAGGATAGTAATTTTGTTAATCAGAAAAAAAAAAAGAGTGAGAATCAACACTGAGATGTATACAGCAAATAGTTGTTATTCAGGAATCAAAATTATTTCCTAATACCATATACCGGTAGTAGCGCAGACACTTACACAAGTCACAGAGGTATTGCTATGGTCAAAATAATACAACCAATGTGATTGTTGGTTTATATGCGCTTATATTGAAGATATGCTTCTAAGAGAGAGCAAATATACACTACATGTATATACAGTCCTATATGATAATACTAGTATATAGTAACCCATGGGTGCATGAAATTGTGCATAAACTTGGTACCAGTAGTACTGAATATATATTTGTTCTACAAATCCATATAACCAAAAATTTGCATTATATTATTAAAATATTATTCATTTTTATCATAGACACACTAAAGCATAAATAGCACTGTGTGCTAGATCATTAAAATACGACTTATTTTGATCATAGACACACCTCTGTCATTTATTTAGTTTATCAACAGAAACATACAAACACCAGACTGATCTGTTATGGATGGCAATTTTTTTTCTTAACTGTCTAATATCATGAACACTTACGGGGTATATCCCGTACATGTATATATACCGGTATACATATTCATAGATGATTGCAATCTGTTCATGAGATCTCAGTGGAAATGCCATACACACTTATTCACACATAGTGGTATGTATTAAGGGGTAAACTCAAAAAAAAATATTTGCATTTACTTTCACTCACTATAAAATAGTAAAAAATCTCCTCCATTCAAAGCAGAATAAACTACCCTTAAATAGCTGATGACTAATATTTCATTACATTTGTGATTTGAAATACGAGTCATGAAACATTCCTATATAGTTCATGTCATCTGTATCATCAATAGGAGGCACTGGTACATTTGTACATGCAATTCTTGCTATTTCAGGAAGTCATCAGCAGTTTTACTAAAAATAGAACTGACATACATGTAACCTTTGATAGCCACCATGCACATGAAACAGGTCAATGTGAACTACATGTATGTGAATGGCAATGTTTTTCAACCATAACAACACTTTATTGTTGTGCAGTGGTGATCGTTGTGAATCCTAATGAAGCTGCCTGAACAAATTATTCCATTTTGCACAACAGTGATACACAAGCATCAATAATTTTGTTTATTTATTTGTTTGTATAAAGACAAGTGTAAGAAGACAAATTCATTATTCAGTATATACATGTAATAATAATATGAGGTTATTACGAGGATACCTCAAAGTATGCACGAAGACAGTACAGCGGCAGTATCAGCCGACGCACAACGGAGTGCATACTTTAAGGTATCCTTGTAATAGCCTTATTATTATACATCATGGGAATGCCAAAATCCAAAATGTTTAGAACAGAATCAGCAAACTTCTTTGTGTGGAGTCTGGTCAAACCCTCGTGGCAGCCAAATTTGTTTTTATTATTAGAGGACGCTTACGCACGTAATCATTCCATATTACGGCACACTGTAACTTATGGCATTATGGTGAGTTGAGTTAGTGTTTGTCTTTTAGTAAAAGCATTGTGTATCTGTCAACAATGGCTCTGTCATGTTTAAATCATTTGTCTATGTAGTTCTGAGTTGAGAAATTATTGTTCTTGAGTTGTTCATAACGTTTCTGTCTTTCATTTGAATATACATATAACTGACAATGTATTATTGTGAAATATATTTTGTCTTCTGTGTTTTTTTTTTTACATATTTTGCACATTCTTTCATCAAAAGAAAAGTAAACAGTTTTATGGGATTTGATATTTCCTGTGGAACAATGAATTTGGTTACTCAGAATGAAACTAGACAAAATATTGAACTCATCTATAAATAAAACAATTTTCCAATGACAATAAAAAGTTCTTTCATGATTAGGAATGCATTATAAAAATAAATTCCATGTATACACATAGTATGTGGTGGAATGTGCTTCTTATGAAGATACAACCTTCCCAAATTGTGCTTACACAAGGTGATTTGCATCAAAGTAATATACCGTAAATGAGGAATATATACACTGATTTAAATTTAGCAGATTTGGTGTTGCAGAATTTTTTTTAAATTCACTGCTTAGTAAAAAAAACAATACATTATATTGTTAACCTTGGGTATTTACTAGGTTTTAACACATTGCCTGATGTCTGTGGAGGCTTTCAGCTAGAAATGTGTTATTTAGCTACCAGCAAAATAAGCAAAAACTAAAAATTGATAATTAAGCCTTAAACACTGCAATGTCAAAAAACTTCAAGATGAGCTGGAACTAGTACCCCCTAGCCACACAGACATACCGATGCAATGCCACTTAAGGTGTTGATACAAGAAGTGATACAGTAATTAGTTCAGAAAAACATTTGCTAATTTGATTGACTCGGGTCAGATAATTATAAATGTCAATGGTTCAAACAGTGACATACCAAATATGACAATGTCAATGGTTTAAATAACGACATACCAAATATGACATTGTCAATGGTTCAAATAACGACGTACCAAATATGACATTGTCAATGGTTCAAATAACGACGTACCTAATACAAATATATGGCATGTCAATTGTACACTAGAATTTGCCTAATGCCAAGAATACATGCTCATGCACATGAAGGAATCAATTTTAATTCTTCTTGCTATGCTTATTTGTTGATGAAACAATGTTTGCATCAATGTATCATGTCATATACGCAATAAAAAGGATATTTTAACATGAAATAGAAAACGAATATCATAAAAGGTGTTCTTGAAAATGAGGGGCTCATCAGTTTAAGAGTTACTCCCTAGTATTGAAGAAACCATGGGAAATAATTTGTCATTACTTTTTGTTTTTATGTGCTGTTTGGATTTCTCTCTTGTTTTTCATTAAAATAACTCCATAGATAACCTGGAAAATAAATTAAGACAAAAAAGCTTTTGCAATAACAAAGACAGGAAGTAAGACAATTTTATTTTATGTGTTGTGTAGCACTTTGATATTTGAACCTATATTTGCTATATTTAAACTAGAAAATGAAATACCCAGTACAAGCATTATTGAGCAAAAAAAAATCAACCAATTTTTACCATTAAAAGCCGTCAACCCCCCCCCCCCCATAATGTTGGTGCACAGTTTTTCACATTTTTTTTTTATTTTCATATAATTTCTTTGTTTATTTTGAACCAGATAGACATATATTCTGATAACCTTGAAGTTTTAATCAAAGTTATAGAAAAACTATGAAAAAAACATAATGCAGGTTTATTTTATAATATGTGACAAAGTCAGTTTTGTTGTTTGAAGGGTTAAAAGCAGGATTGTTTCAAAGCATGGGTATCAATGCCTCAATAAACAAGCTTTCATCATTCCTTGAATTACATACTGTGGAATAATTTATTTTCGCTGGAATAAATTTTCGCTGAAAAGGCTTTTTGGGCGTTTTGTATGGAACTTATTTTCACTGATTTTTGATGAGTTTAATGTGAAATATACGGGGAAAAAGTATATTCGCCGAATTTTATTTTCACGGAATCATCCCTCCAGCGAAAATAGCGAAAATAAATTCCAAGCGAAAATAAAGTATTCTACAGTACACTTCTTCTGTTGATTTAGCCAAAGTGCCATTTGACATACTCCATTCAGAGATTACCCATTTATTGAATACGCTGAAATGATACATATATTGTAGAAAAAGGTCAGGCAGTTACACGCTTTATTAGAATAGTGAATAACAATCCACGGTGACATACACTGACAAAGTATTGTCACACAGCAGATCACAAGGTTTTTAATAAGTGGATTTACAGAGTATACAATGAGTTGTCAGGAAAACATTTATTACAATGTGGCTATTGTGGTTACATAGGTCAGTGGGAAATATGTACTTCAAAAGATACAAGGTCAACTATATAACAGTACTGACTGTATTCACAAACATTTCTATTATTTAAAAAAAAAATTGAACAGTAGTATCGTACCGAAACTAGTAGGTCGTGAACTCATTTAGCATGTTTTCAAAAACATGGTTACAAAATCCATTAGAACAAGCCATGCATGGCACAGTCCCCGTTAGTTATCAAATTTAAGATATAAAGTTTTGTTTATAGTAATATAGCTGGAATATAAACATGTCAGGAATATGATGATTGTTTAACATTTAAATGATTGACATTTGTATCTGACAAATGAGTATTGAGAGATATTGCTCTAGAACAGCATTAATTAAAACAAAATCTGCCATTATGAATATATGTATAATGAATATATGAAATTTGAACATAGTCAGTCAAAGCATGTCAGAGATATGGCTCTAGAAGCCCATTCATTAAAACAAAATGGCCACTAGTCAGCCATTCAGAATCCAATCTAAAAAATAAAACAATTTTTTTAGCACAAAAATAGCCACCATTAGGCCGCCAGTCAGCCATTTTGAATGTTATCTGAAAAACAAAATTATTTGCATCAAGGTCCCATAATGTCTAATGTATATATCAAGTTTGAACAAAAACCATCTGTAAACAGCCGAGAAATGCTTGATTTTTATGATTTTTTAGCACAAAAATGGCCGCCATTCGGCAGTCTTGAATCAGATCGTAAAACAAAATGATGTTTATCAAGGTCCTATAATGTCCAACGTATATACAAGGTTTGAACAAAATCCATATGTAAACAGCCGGGAAATGCTTGATTTTGATGATTTTTAGCACAAAAATGGCCACCATTCGGCCATCTTGAATCAGAACGTGAAACAAATTGACGTGCATATGTATGATATCATGTATGATGTATGTGTGAAGTTTGATTGTGATTGGTCCAGGCATTTCTAAGATACAGGTCCGGACGCACGCACAGACGCACGCAAGCACAGACGTCAAAACATAAGTCCCCGTTTTCGGACTTCGTCCGAACGGGGACTAAAAAGTGTAATGTGGAGGGCTGGAGACTTGCATGCTTACGTGATAGAATATGATGCACTAAGGTACTTTACAC